CATCATCATCATCATTCATTGCTGGTTACAGTACATGTACATACGTCCTGACTTCCCCATCAATCAACAAAGGTATTGGATGATATCACTTTGACGGAATTAACCTCTACATCTATACCTTCCGCGGCCAAGATGCAGTCGTGGTTTGCGACCGCCAGCCAGATACGCCTTCCACCAAAAGGCGATCTCGCGTTTCGCATCATGGATGGATGCAGCAGTCGCTGTAGGAGTACAGCGTTTCATCCCCCCCCTCCTTCCCCCCCCCCCTCTGAATTTGGGGGTCGATAATTTGAATCCGGTTGCGAGGAGTTTGAGCCCAGTGTTTGATGATGCCAAGGGCGAGAGCGAGGTATTGGAGTACCTGAAGAAGAAAGAAATGTGACGACGAGTCTGGAGGGGGGGGGGGGAAGATGAGCTTCACGAGCTTTTGTTTGCGGATACGTAAATCTTGGACGGACTAGCAAGTGTTTCCCAAATCGTTTGATCTATCTGTACAGTACAGTACATAAGTAGACTGGGGCCAATGATTTATCCATCTATGCTGCAGGGCGCTCAAAACCGCCAACCACCGATGGCGCATTCTATTCTATGGCTTCTCCATTTATCGTACATATCTCCAAGCAACCACGCCACTATTTACCATTCGGGTGCCTCCCGCTTTTCCTGCACCACCACCACCACCTCTCTCAACACCAGTCTTGCCGTCGCACACGCTCTCTCTCTCTCTCCTAGACCCTTCTGCGACTGTTAATCGCCAGATCTTCCTCTCCGGCTTCGTCTCCACTCAGCGCGAAATCCTGACCGAGCTTGAGAAACAGCTCAGCAAGAAGTTCAGCGTGGAAGAGAAAGCGGTGGACTTGAGAAGGGCGACTGGAACAAAGGGTATATGAACTGTTGGCCTTGTCACAGAAGCTATCGGGTGGGTGTTCGAAGAAGGACCGAGGTAATAGTGCTGGATTCGTACCAGGTCAACAAGCTTATTAGTTGATTGAGCTGTCGTTGGTAGCAAGCAAGCAAGATAGAAGACGATGGACTGACAATGGACTCGTGCACATTGGTTGGTTGGCTGGTTGGTTGGATCGCCAGCGTCCAAGCACCACCACTCGAAAGCAAGAGTCGCACTGGGGGGGG